GCTTGGAACCAGATATCTAACCCTTTCCATGGGATTTTTTAACAGGTAAGCCAAACACTGAGTCCTGTTTATCTCAGGGAAGGAGGGAGCAACCTTATTGTTACTGAAAACTGAATATACATGTTTATGACTGCTCTTGTTGTACCACGTCCACATTATTCTATGCAGTGGCACACAAAATGTTACATGTCCAGTCATAAAGGATTTAACTTTTACACATTGTAGAGTTTTTTTAGTCTAGTCAAGAGCAGACGCCATATTATGTTTTAGCACTCAGCTGAAGTTTGTGTTTAAGGGAATTAAGTAACTTCCTCTTACCTTCCACAGACATCCAGGACTGATACCGTTTTGCTGGCTTGTACAGGAGTTTTGTTGACACAACAGGTCCATCTCCAAGATGTAACTCAGCATTGATGTCAATTACAAGAAAATTATGTCCACTGTCTGTCAGCCTTGGGGCATACTGTGGTACAGGAGGAACTGAGCAAGAATGCAAGTATTAAGCCAGCTTCTTAATCACCTGTATCAGCAAAACTCTGATATCTTCCTAGATCTACAGGAGAATGCGAGACATTCTTCAAAACTTGGATGAAGTAGATAGAGAGTTTACGCTCTAAAGGTGACAGTTTAGAGTTTGTTTTTTTTTTAAAATGAGTTTTCTTTAAACCTCTCTGTCAATGTACATAACTAATATCTTGGTTATAAAGGATTTCTGTTTGTATTCTGACTATTTATTTATTCAGACTTTTTTTTCTGCAGTGCAGGGAACAACTGGCTCTGCTGTGTTATAGTATAAAGCCCCTCTTAAAAATAGAGAAGCAAAGACATCAGAAGAGATTTGTGCTTTTACCTTTGACTGTGACTTGAAAAAAAAATTCCTGCTACTGTCTGCACACTGCAGACCCAGGTTCCTGTGTCACGGGGCTGGATTCGATTAATTGTAAACATGGCTTCAGAGCGATTACTGGTAACAATTAGGGCAGGCTGAAATGACAAAAGATATACAGGGCCTGAAAAACGTGAGCATTTAGCAATACTTTCATGACACTTTCTCACAGTTTAAGAACTCATCCAGACTTTAGTGATATCAATAGAAAGCATCTGCAATGGTCAGTTCCATAGTTTCATATGTGCTCATATCTCAAAATATCAAAACTTCATATTATGCTTGAAAACCATAGTGTATATTAACTACATTTAAAGTCAACATAAACATCAGAAATAATAGGAAGCAGTTAATCAGGAGCCTACCCTTAGGACAGTTCCATCTTGCTTGAAAAGTTTAAATTCTTCAGATTTAGGAAGTGGCATCCCAGTTGCTATACAAAAAGGCTTGAACTCGACGCCAGAATTAAGTTCTACAGGATCTAGTAAGTTTTCTATTTGAGGTGAAAGAACAGAAGATACTTTAATATTTCATTGATTTATTGATATTTTTATGCCAACCTTCAAACAGAACTTTAAGAAGGTACTACCAAACCATGTTCAGGTGTACAACGAGCATAAGCAGCACAGGTGTCTGGTTCTCATTTCACTCATGGGCATGTGCAAGAATCACATCTACTGAAGTCAGCACTGCTACATCAGTGTAAATATGTGAGAAGGAACAAGCCTTGTGTCTGTCCTTCTTTCTTTTCTCCTCCCCTCCTCTCTCTTTCTGACTGACATTCTAAGTACAGCCTATCTATGGCAAAATCACGCACACATTTTGTATTGAACATACAGTATCTCTTTGCTCTCCATTTTATCTGTTTATGAGAGCAGTCGGATCACAACAGTATGGCTTTGGATCACAGGCTTACTCCCCTGCTAGTTTTTGCACTTGAAACCTTTTACAAGTTAACGCTGGATTTTTCATTTTATTTGTCAAGTAGAAATAATAGGTGCTGAGTGCATCTTACAAAACACTGTGTAAACTTTGAATCCAGGGAGATTCTAAGTGAGAGATGTTCAGCTTTGTAAGCTTAACTCTTAACTCAGAGAAAAAGAGCTGTTTTAAACTCTGGGGTTGTCTTGATATTTCAGTCATCAATTTCAGATCATGAGGTACACATTATAGGAATGTATGCAGATGAATAAGAAGTAGGTAGTGGTAAGTACCATGAGCCTATCCAAAAGCTGATCAAGTAAGATGAGCAGCTTCTGCCAGCAATTGATATCAAGATAAAATCTGATGGGATAAGCTTGAAAATATGCCTCTAATGAAAGTAGGATCAGATAAAATGGAAGTATACCAGCTTGCTAAATGCAGCATATGGGGCACAGGCTTAAAACCACTGTATTGCAATAAAGATGTACAGATGTGCTTGGGCCCCTGAAATGTAATTGTCAGAGCAAGAATACCAGCCTGGAGTGGTAATGCTTTACCCGCATGAAGATCTGTTTCAGTTACACTGGGAAAATCCATTTACTACCGTGTTACCTTGCTTTACCTTCTTTTTCACATTGCAGACCATGCCATCCAGGGGAGCAGATACAGCCTTTAAATCTGTCACATGTTCCTCGATTGTGACAATTACATTTGAGCTTGCAATCCGAGCCATAAAATCCAGGTTTGCATTCTGCAAGTGCATGTTTCAAGTTAGTGCAAAGATACTAGAAAATGTCTTCCATTAGTTTTCAATCTCATGCATTCATTTTCTAGCAGGATTTAGTTCTCTCAGTTGGGTTAAGTTTGAAACCGTATGTACTAGCACTGAATCCCCCACAGAGCACCCTGAGAGCACACTAACATAAAACAGCTTAGAACACATTTGTATCTATGTCTGTCATTTGTAGACTAGATGTCAATGTGGAAGCTTCTTCAATCTCCATTTTTTTTTTTCATTTACACTGTGATAGTGGTGAAAGACTTAGATTTATGTCACCACTGAAGAAGATGGCACATATTCATAAAGATGTACTTCATGTCCCAAAGAGATTGCAGTCTAATTGAAATGAACAAGGCTGGTTATACTCACTATTGCTCAACAATGGATGTGTGCTTGGTGCCAAATTGTTCAGTTTGACTTGTAGAAATACAGCAGAGCTGCAGCTGTTAGAAGATTTTTAATGTCTCAGTAGAATGTCTGTTTTGCAGAATAATTTGAACAGTTTTCAACTTTACTGTGACCTGTGAATCTGACATGAGATGTCAGATGCCCTGAGATGGGTAATTTTTATTATGCCTTTTTTATAGAATGTAAAAAATCCTGTCTTTTACTCCTCTCTGTATTTCCTACATGCAGCACACTAAGCACTCCATCATTCCTCATATTTTTTACTATACCTTTATCACATTCAAGTCCCATCCATCCTGTGGCACAAGAACAACCGTATGGATCTGGTAGACAGAACATATAGTTTCTGCAGCCATAGTTTTCTTTACAGCTCTCTTCACATGTTTTGCCAAATTTATTGGCTCCACAAGCTATTGAAGGGAGAGAGGGAAATAATAGTCCAATATCATTAAGTCTGCAAAAGGGCTGATGCTTCTAATGATAGAGCTTTGGACAACAGAGAACGTGAGTTAAAATTAAAAATAGCATTTTTTACCATTCAGATACCAGATATATTAACATCCGTAACAACTTCAGCCATGGTTGCACTAATGCTTAAGTTCAGGCAGCAGAAACAAACAAAATATTCTCCTATGTGAGGATCCATCAGCAAAGCACCCATAGCTTTGGATATGAGGGGCAGAGCTTCAGCAACAAATCCTCTTTATAAGTCTCTTAAATATAAAATGGACAGTGCCATGAAAACAAAATATCCTTCTTAGAAGTCAGTGCATATGACACTGCCAAACTCAAGGTTTTGCTTTTCTACTAAGATTAGCATTACACTAGAGTGGTTTAGATGTCAACTGTTCCGATATCTTAGCTCTAGTATTTGCAGCACTTCAAGTCAAAATATTAGGATACATATTTAGCATTGAACCCAAAAGTTGCTTGGACACATCAGAGCAATGTGATGCTTGCTGTAATTCTTCCAGAATCCAAACTAATCATCACAGACACAGATATGCATGAACAGACATAATCTGTTGATATGCTCCTAAAGAGACAAAACATCAGAGCAATGTGATGCTTGCTGTAATTCTTCCAGAATCCAAACTAATCATCACAGACACAGATATGCATGAACAGACATAATCTGTTGATATGCTCCTAAAGAGACAAAACATCAGAGCAATGTGATGCTTGCTGTAATTCTTCCAGAATCCAAACTAATCATCACAGACACAGATATGCATGAACAGACATAATCTGTTGATATGCTCCTAAAGAGACAAAACATCAGAGCAATGTGATGCTTGCTGTAATTCTTCCAGAATCCAAACTAATCATCACAGACACAGATATGCATGAACAGACATAATCTGTTGATATGCTCCTAAAGAGACAAATCACCCTGTGAGCATGTTAGCACCTTGTTCAAAAGTATCCAGGGGATCTCTAGCATACAGACTTATTTCCAAGTGCCAGTGCATCCTTAAAATCCCCTATCTTACCATACATTTAACAGGTGGTCAGTAGCTTTGACCATTTTGACTTCAGGGGAATCATAGAACAGATCAGGTTAGAAGTGACCTCAAAAGATTATCTGGTCCATCCTCTTGTGGGAAACGGAGCCTAGGCAAGTTTATCTAGCACACTGTCCAAGTGCATATTGATCGAGAGGAGTTGTAAATACCCATCTTTGCTAGCCATATAACCTCTACTAGGAGGAGAGGGAGAAGTCAAATCACAACTACAAGAGCAGCCTTGTTCATTGTTCATTCAGGGTTCATCTTGCCCAGCCACTGTCCTGTCTCCAGCATCAGCTGTAAATGCTGTAGCTATAAAGAGTTAAGAGTGCTCCATTTGATGCTTCTTTCAATAATCTGCCAGCTTCTGCTACTGAGAACAAATCAGAAGCACTCTGTGAAGATAATATTTGCTTACCTTTCTCACATGTTTTTCCCATAAAACCTGGAGGACAGATGCATTCCCCAGTATCTTCATGACAAATGCCATTGTTCATGCAGGAAGGGCAGTGGGAGCTACAGGAAGGGCCCCATTTCTGAGCTTCACATCCTTTTATGGAAAAATATAATGGCATATTTGTTGTCATATTACTCATTAACCAATCAAATAGTAAAATTCTTTTTAATTAAGACAATCAGTAAAACAGATAAAAATATGATCCATATGGATCTCCTAAAGCCCCAGCCAACTGACCAAATGTAAGGAACCTTTTGGTTGTGCAGGTGGATATTTCTGGATCAGAACCACTTTACGGTACACAGCGATACTACATAACACCTTCAAGGAAGGAACTGGAAAAGTCTTAATTTTTTGAAACTAGAGATAGATTTTTTTAGTTTGTAAGAGTAGGTTTGGAAGCTGACAAAAGATGTTGTATTTAAGATTTCTGTTCTTGTAGGAGGGATCTGAGACCTGCAAAAGGTCCAGACTTCTCATGGAGCTGGCTGTACGGGTAGTAAGTCAGCAGGACCAGGCTTGGCATCACTGGAATTGTACCAGCATATGGCAAGTCATCACTTTTTTCTTCTGTAACAATGTTTCTCTTGAAAGTTCATTAGACCAGTTTCACATCACATTGTATCTTTGCTGTCTTCACTGGGTCTTTGTAATAATAATGAATCAACTGGTGACCTATTTCTGGAATAAATGGATTAAGAGCAATCGACCGTATTAACGTCTGTCAATTTCCTTTCCCACTTCATAATTTAAGAAGATGATACTACCATTAATCCTGCCAGTGAAAGTTCTGATACTGATCTAATGGAAGCAGAGCTCAAACTCTAAGCAAGTATATATGACTTCATCATTCAAATACTTAATCTATCCCTATGCTATGCAAAATTCTTTGAACTGCTTTTAAAATCACTGGGAGCTGAGAGGACTCAAAGTTTTTCAGTATTTAGTTTGTGACAAAGTTTCTTGCATCACAGAAACTGACCTTCATGCCTTCCTCCAAAAATTTGAAAAGCTGAGATGCTGAGCAAAGAACTAGCTGTCCTGGGAATAACTACATTGAATAGAATCTAAATCTGAACTTGTTCCTCTCTCAGCTGCTTAAATCAGTACCAACTTGCACCAAAGATCTTTTGGAAAAATTTTCCTCTGACATAAACAGATGGCAGCTTATGCCAAGAAAGATTTTGGCCCTTATTTGGGCATCGTATAAGTTCCATTTCAGATTCATTATGGCTTCAAACAATTGATCAATCAGCACACATTAATGGAACTTACGTCTTACAATAAGCCTTGTGTAAGCAGAAGTAAAGAGGTTTCCTCCTATATATCTGGCAGAGTAAACCCCTGCATCCTGTGGCTGCACGTGAGGATAGGAGACTTCCAGCTCCCCTGGCACTTCATGCCGTGGCACCGAGTGGATGAAGGAACCTGGGGAAAGAACACACAGAGCAGGCAGAAGTCACTCACCCTTTAGAGACAGAAGTGAGTTTGGATGGAATACTGACTAATGACAGCTGGGATGAGCTAAGCAACTGAATCTATTTATTAATTATGAATTTGCTGACAGCTCCTCAGCTGTACTAGTTTTTGATAATGGGAGAGGTGCAACTAAAAAGGAAGCCTGATGAAGAGGTTTAATACATGAGTGGGACAAACACCTTTGTGTTCAGTATTGCTTTACAGGTGTGTTGCTAGGAGTCTAGTGGTTAAAAAGCTTCATTTTGTTTCTTGGCCCTTCCTGAAGTCAAGGGTGACAATCAGTAAGGAGTCTAGAATGGCTGGAAGGAGTTAAATAGCAAATGCCAGCCAGGTCCTGTTAAATCTGAGTAGCACAAATATTTACATAGCAGAGGAAAGCAGGAAGAATACAGTACAGATCTATGTTTTCTTCCCAGACTTAACATGTTTCTGTCTCTCCTTTTTTTTTTTTTTTCCACTAAGGGAGCTTATCTGTGTTATTTTAGGTTTGCTGTAGTTGGTCATACATGCTTGCTAAATAAGAAAATAGTATTTGGTCTTCTTCCATCTCTCTGGATCATCAAGTAACAACATTTGAACATTGGTTGCTGTCAAAGAGAAGCTGCATCCAGTGGACCTCAGGACCACTGGAAGCCCTTCCACTCCAGTCTTTTAGAGCAAGGCTGCTGCAATCAGCTAATGCCAGGCCCCACTAGCTATCACCAAAACACACATTCACAGGCTCACACACACTGTACTGACAAAGTCAGCCACCAACAGATTCACACAGCAGAACTGTGTGCTTACTGCTTGTGCAGACAGGACTCACACACATGTGAACAACCCAGACAGCCTGATCCTATTCTCACTTGTCAGCTTAATCAGGCTTTCTGGCAGACCTCATACACCCACACAACCAAAACTGGGTCTTAGCTGGCCTGGACCTGCAGCCTCTCTAATAGCTGGATCTCAGACCTCTTGTCCTACTCAACGGTTAGCCTGGCTTGAAGTTCACTAGTGTCACACATACATACCCATGCACAAGCAAATGGGTCTCTGATGTAACTGGCCTTAAGACACTTGTTCTCTTTGTTTGCTGGCCCCAGATGTACAAGCCCCTTTGACCCCTGGCATATGTTTCCAGCCACTGGGGGTTAGGCCTGTTGTGCCTTCTCGTCTGGCCTGAAGGTCACTAGCATATTATGCATATGTATGTCAGGTAGAGAGCACACTTACATTGAAGAATAATTTTAATAATGTTTAATAATATTGGATCGACTGTAGTGCAGAGCTTGGACAGACCAGTGGCACCTTTTACCTGCTTTGCAACACATTTTCCCCCACTTGTTCATTTCCCATTCACTTTGAAACCTCCCTTTGTCTTGTTTGATTCTTTATTAAATATTCCATTATTTCACACATGCTCACAGTCCCCCTCAGTCATGCTATAGTAAGTCTGCTCTTTCCCCTGAAACCCATGATAATCTTGTTCCCTGCTTCTTACACCTACAAGCTCTGGTTGAAGCTGCTCAGAGCATTGTTTTGTTCCCTCAGAGGCCCTCAGAAGCTGGAAAACTCTGCCCTTTCGTGTTTTCTGTGTCATCTGCTTCTCCTTAGGGTTTACATGTTCATTCTTTTGTTTTGTGACTTAGGCTTTTATGCTGAATGACCATTAACCAGATGATACTCCCATCAATCTCTGAAGTGTGAAGAAACAGGTCTTTATGAAACTCTGCTTTGCATATTGCCTTTTTAAAAGACACCTTTTTGTTATTTTTCTCTTTCAGCCTGTAGAGAAGCACTTCAAGTAGTCAGTGGCTGGGGTTAAGGCTGACCCACTTCATGCCTTCTTTTGCAGTGTCCTGAAATTTCCTTACTTCATCCTGCTCTATTTAATCCCTGTATCCTGGTACCTCACTGTAAGCTAACCTGCCAGTAGATAGATTTAGGTGGCATGTTTGAAAAGACGTTGTCATAGATTTTACAATTTGACTGATTTTTTCTAGTTGAGTTAAATAAGGATTAGATTTTATTGAGAGTTTTGCCTTTCTAATAGTGGATTACTAGTGCTTAATTTCTTATGATGTATTGTAGAAGTATTGTAGAAGCTAAGTGGCCTCTGAAAGGCATTTGAAGAAGGAAAGGTGTGTGCTTGAGAAGCAGCAGAAACACAAAGAACAATGCAGTAATGAGGCCTTCAAACTGACACAGGAAAAGAAAAAAAAGGTGTTAAAATCAGCCAGGAAAACATATGAGAGGATAATATAGAAGGGAAAAAAAAAGGGAAATGAGAAACAAAGCAAACATATCAACAGAGGATTTGGCATTCTAGTAGAAGAGGGACAGATCAGGTCAATGTGTTGGATATGGCAATGGCTCATTCAGGGAACATTAAATGTGTGAGGAATTTTATCTGTTCCAGCTGCACAGTATGGGTACCATCAGCAATGACTTTAAAAGTTATGTGGCACTTGACTAGGACAATGATGGAAGGAAGAGAAAAGACAAGAGAGAAAGGTTAATTACCATTTTTGTAGATCACTGCATCTTCCTCTTTTGCTGCCATTCTGATGAAGGAAATATTGACATGCTCTCCCTTATTTGCTGTAACAGTTAATGCCACCGGGTGGAATGAGGCTGAAAACAGAACAGGACAGAAATGTAGGATAAAGAGCAGCAGTTACTGTCTCTATCTAGTCTCTGGGCTGAAAGCTGAGAATGGTTTACAGCATGACCCTGACTCAGATTTTGATGTTTAGATTTCTTTAGAGCACACACTGAATAGTCAACCTCAGCTCTATGTTTTGACAAATATTGAGGACTCACCCAAACACTGAAACAACAGACTGACCTTGGGTGTGAAATTATACAAAAAAAAAAAAAAAAATTGGATTTTGGCTCAGTAACTGGAAACACTTCCTAAGCAAGAGCTCCAACTGTCTCTAAAACACTTTCTCACGTTTGTTCAGCCTTTGAGACATTTTTAAAGCAGACTGTATAAAGTAGAGAACAAGCTGTCATTGGCAAACAAACACCCTCAGTGACTTCTTCTCTTCTGTTTAAGTTTTGTCATGCAGAACTATCACGATAGTTCAGGTGACCTCAGTCCTGGAGGGTCTGGGAGAGATGTGGTAAGGTAGAGTAGTCTGTGCTTGTGCTATTTCACCAGGCTCTCTATAAATACTGAGTGTTTGTTTTCACTAGGAACAAAAGAAAAAAGTGTATTCACACACAGTAGTACTTCTACTAAAATATTTTCATCTGAAAATGTGGCTTAATTAAAATAAAAATTATGTGGGATGAACTGTCTTGATTGGTGTTATTTTTCAATTCTCCAGTTCAGAAATGGAAAGTAATTTTCCTGCGTAAGCAGAAAAGTACTTTTATATGTTCATTTGTAGTTCCTGATTTAAGAAAAAGAAGAAGGTAGTATTCAGAGGGATTTTCAGCGAAGTTTTGCCTTTTGCTTATCACTACTAGTGGAAAAAAGATCAGAAGATAATTGAGGAAGGGACAGAAAAATCTCAAGAAATAGTACTTTTTGAAACCAGTGGAATTAGAATTTTAAATTCAATATTACTTTGAAAAAAGTTAGAAGTTAAGGACACTTCCTTTCGTTTAGTTGGAATGTACCAAGGGAAAGCCGTGAAGGTTTTTTGAGGACAAATTCAGGTTTTCTGACCATTTGTAGCTCTGAGGTTTTATGTCATACTGTCATTGATGTGTTGTGTGCCAAAAAAAAAGGACAGAAGCTCCTCTAAAATTAGGCAAAGTTAACTTCCAAACTATTCAGCTTTTCATCTGAGTGAGGATATTACACATTTATACTTTCTCTTTTAGAGCACCTGGGTGAGTAAGGCGTTGACTTTCACCACTCCTGTTTCATTATTTATCTCTCTATTTATTTAGTTAGTTGTTTGTTTTTAGGCTATTTAGTCTTAGAATCCCCCCTGTGCAAGTTCCTCTTGGGTGAGTCTATCCTGCACGTTGTTTTTGTTCAGCTTCTGGGAGCCCAGTCCTGCTGCCACCTGCCTCACCAGCAATGAGAGTGGGACCTTCCTGACAGAAAGACCCACCTGGGAGCCATCCTTAAAGAGTCGAGCATGCTTCTAGTCAGCTCTGCATTTGCACAGTTGCCAGTTGTATTAAAGTCACATTTATTTCATTTTCAGAAATGGTCAATAAAGCATACCTTAGTTCATACCAATGCAGAAAACAAATTTGGAATTTGTGGCTGAGATCCAGTGACAAGGAAATACACAGAGGTAAGATCAGAAATATTTATACTATATTATGCGTGAAACAGAGCTACAAAAATCAAGCAGGTAGATCCTACATCAAAGTTTGTATAAGGCTGAAAATGTGTTAGTACCTCCACAATATTATTTGTAAAATCCAAGGGGGAAAAACGGTGGTATTCTTGAAAAATTTAAGGAAAGAACATTTTAATACTTCCACTTCAGAATGACATTTTAATTAAAAATAAAAATGTTTGTGTTATGTGATGTAAAATTAAAGAAATAAAATTTGAGTAAAACTTAAGATGCTTTTATCAGTCCAAGCCAAACCCTCTCTCAGAATTCTATCTCCTTGAGGATTTTCAGATTGTAATGTTTTATTTCTGACTGGAACTAAGACAAGTATTGAAAACTGCCAGTTCTTTGCAGAATGGAATTTCCATCCCCTGTGCAGTTCTAGTGTTTATGGTCTGAGCTGCTGTCGTATGTATTCAGTCCTTTCTAAGTGCTGTCCAGTTTTTGTCCTGATTTGAGCAGGACTTTTCCTGGGTGCTATTAAGCACATGCATGGGAATCTATTGAGGATTTGCCATGTTACCTAAGCACAGGTATCTGAACGTGCCTCTTAGAGAATCAGAGAATTCTAATACAGAATAATGAAATAAGTTCCCATTAAAAACAGGCAAACAAAAACTGAAAGCAGTCCCAGCTTACTGTCAGCTCCCAAGTTACAAGTTATTTATGAATAACAAATGCGTGGTGAAAATCTTGATCTATTTAGGAAAACAGAATTGAACAGCTTTCCCCAAAATGAATTGCTAGTTACAAATAATCCCAAGTGAATTAGCTGAAGCATTTTTTGGACCCAGTTTATTGAGGCATTAGTAATTGTTCTAACAAGATACTAAACTTTTGTATTCCCATTTTCTTTTCTTTGCATGTTGCTTAGCTTAACTGCAAGGCTTTTTTTTTTTTTTTTTTAGTGTATTGTTGCAATGGAAAGGAACACACTCCCTGGTGGGCTCAGTTCCTTAATGTATTTTTAGATTGTGAGTTGTATTTCATGATTTCACATCTCAAGTGTGCCAACTCCTTATAGAGACATAATGAACAGAGTTGCAGGGCAAGTGCTGTAACACCCTGTTGCTGGCATTTCCATTGTCCCTCTGCCCCACCTAGAGAGTTTCTGTTGGTGGATACTCATTTGTATATACACACTTATTGTGCAGAGAAATTTCATAGATGATATTTGATTGGATGCAGAATAGGCTACGTAGTGTTCTATTCTAGATATGTGTGCTGTGTTCAGAATAAGTGTTACTCTCCATACGTATATAAAACATAATCTGTTCCATCCCACTGCATGTATGAGTATTACACATGTTACTATGATGCTACAATACAAAGAATTCAGGATAATGGTTTGGTTGCTTTCGGAATGGCACACATATAGAGCAAAATAGGAAAATGAACAGGTTATCTTATCTTCTGTATAACATAGCAAATCTCTTCACTGCATCTGCGTATCTGGTAGTAGGTACATAATCAGACAGATGACAGTTTGCGCTAAAGTCAGTGGGGCTACCCAAATGATTCATGCTTAGTGAGTATTTCAGCAGCTTCTTTCCCTCAGGCTGCAGAACAGTGGCTGAATTTTCAGAAATGCTGCTCCTGCCTGAGCCTTTTGTGTCCTCAATGAGAAACTGCGCTTCTCAACTCTTGCTCAATTTTTGCTGTTGAAAAACACTTTCTGCCTTTAAAAATTATTCAGGCAACAGTAAAGGGCAAAAAGTCCTGTTTTCCAACTACAGATGGTTTGCCAAACCTCACAGTCCCTCACTGACCTCTTCTTCCTCATTCTGTGCACTTTAATAGCTTTGAGAACTTGTGCTGTGCCTCTTTCTCACCCACCTAGCCTGATTAGAATTCACTGATGAGTTGCAAGTTCAAATTTTGTCAGTGAAAGCTTTTACAGAGAAAAATCAGTGAAATGGATTCAACCCCAGAATTATTCAAAGAAACCTACCTAATGCTAGTGTGAATGTTGTATTATTTCTAGTTAGAACAACTTCTGTCACATAGGCAGCTCTCAAATTTTGATTCCTTTAAATTCTCTGTTCCTAGGTCCACAGATACAAAGCCTAAAAAAATAATTGATTCAGACATTCTTCCACCCACAGAGATTGTTCTACATGACAGCCAGATGTACTCAGCTCACTGGCATTCTGCTACAGCAGGGTCATACTGACTTTCCAGAGCCTGTTATCTTCTCCTTATTGCAGCCTCCTTTGAAACCGTGGAGTTGTCACCCTGCATCTACAGAGCTTTCTTGGTTACCAGTCCAACCCTCTAAAGACCACGTTTGGTCAGAGAAAACATGTGCCAAAGGAAGGTGCACTTGTCCTGCTCACCTCACTTCTAACATTCCCATACTAAAATAAATAAATAGACACTAGCGGTAGCTGGGAAAAGTTAAAACCCTCTTTTTCTAAATTTGCTATATGATTTCAAGAGATACAAACAGTTATAACTGCTCTTACTAAAACGTTATAAAGAAAGATTAAGTGTCGACTCTTCACAGACCAGCTGTCATGGCACAAAGCTTTAGCAATACAGTGAAGTCAACTAAAAATCAGTTGAAGTTTTGAAAACTCGATTTGCTGCAGAAAACTAGCCAAATTTGCTTGCACTCTTTGGTAATTTATGGTGATCTCTGCTTTGGAATTTGTCCCAGAAGTCTAATGAGGTATAGCAAAATTTGCACATAAGAAAATTTAATTTAATGGTTAGACTGCTGGACCTTGGAAATCCCACCTTCTTACCCCTCCATCTCCCTGCTTTATTTACTATATTTACTTTTTCTACTGTGCATAGCCTTAAAACCCAAACCAAGTCAATAGTGAAATTCATAGTGGACTTCTGTGAACAAAATTCTTAGATTTTGGGAAACTTCTCTAAAGTTTCTCTCCAGTGTTGAGTTCAGTTGCTGTTGGTGTTTTTGATTTTTTGATTTATTTTTTTTTTTTCCCCATATTGACACAGACTTTGTAGATCCAATGTTGCTGACCTTAGTTTTACTGAACCTTAGGCAAGGCTTTTCTAGGCTCAGGTTGCCTATTTATTAAAAAAAAAAAAAAAAAAAAAAAAAAAAAAGAGTCATTTTTAGGTATCTACATCTCAGACCTGTGAAGACTTTAAAATGGAAGTATGTGTAGAAATCAATGATGTGAAAAGCCCAGAGCAGGAGTAACTGTGTGTGATATTTCATAGGGTCAGTGAGGCCAGTGCTTACCTTATTTGCCACCTTACTTTGCGGTCCTGGCAGTAGCCAGATACAGGCAGAATACCTACAGATGTCTAACTTCCACAGGCTAAAGACTAGCAGCTCCCACTTGTGCCAGACAGTCTGCAAGCAGTGACATGCAAAATTCAGATCTGACCACCATACAGTACCTCCCAGTGGCATCTTCATGGTGTGTATCCTTGTCACCTCATCCTTGAGTTTTCCTTCACAGTAATATGCTCCGATAGTTTCGCTGGCCTGCTCCCTCTTCCACACCACTGTTTTGGCCGTTGCTCTCTTTGAATCCTCGCTGACCTCCAGTGGCTCCCGGTGCTGGTTTGCCACATCCTCCTGGTCTCGGTCGATGGTGATGGACTCACGGGAGCGCCACTTGGAGGTGATACAGATGAGCGACGTCTCGGAGTTGCCCACCAGAGGGAATGAATTGATCAGTATGAGGTCCAGTGCTGCTTCCACTTTACCTAAGTGGAAAAGCAGCAAGTGAAAAAATTTTACTGCAGAGTTTTGGTATGTGGCAAATCAAATCACCAGATAAGCTTTTTCATGGTTTCTCTGGCTGGTGTCTTGCACAGCTTTTGTGCACAATAGGAAGACTGCAGATTAACTGTTCTCCTACACTGACTTCACGGTTTACTTTTCATCTCATGGACAGAAGGAGTCCCTTCTTCTCAGAAGAGGAAGCAAGCCTTGCATGCTTGTGGAACTTCTTCCAAGAGCTGTTGCAGGAGCCCAGGATAAACCATGGGTTGCAGAAGCAGGTAGAACTTTGGATAGGCATGTGCATAAATGCCCCAAGTATGGTGCTTTGTTGGTAATAGGGTCAGTAGATCATAGGTTGTGAGTTTAATAATGTTTCTTTACAGGGATTTAATACAGGTTAATTGTATGTAAAGAATACAAATTGTATTGTAAAGCAGATACTTCTTGCAGTTATAGGAATTGTTAGTACTTTGAACACTTGGAGTATTTTTTTTTTTCAGCTGTTTTATGACTCTGGATTAATGTTTTCCTAGTGATTCATGTGTTAGCCATTCAAAGCCCTCACAGACAGCAGCAAGAACTATGACACAAAGAATCTTCCTCAAAAACAAAGAGCAAGTTGGCAGTATTAATAAAGCCATTTTTTATGAGGTTAGGCTTAAATCAATCAAAGTTGTTCCCTTTGATCAATAGAACTGCCAGAAATAGAGGGGGATGGACCTTCTTTGAAAATGATAGACACAAGCCTGATTAAAACAGTCCCTGGCAGTGTGCTGCAGATTTATTTGTTCAAATGTGCATAGCAGGAGGGAAATACAGCTCTCCTATAATCAGCAATTTGCAAATAACAGGCGTTTCCCTTTGCCTTTGAAATTCAGGGTAAGGAGGAGGGAAACTAACTTTTTTTTTTTTTTTTTTTTTTTTTTCCCAGCTGTAACAGGAAGAATATTTTATTTCTTTTATTCATCACATCTATTTTCCTTCTTTGGGTATAAGTATATTCTGTATGTTCACAGAGAAACCAAATATTCAGTGCCACTCTGCTTCCAAATGTTTCTCTGACTGGAAGGAAGGAATATAGTCTTAGATAAGGGAGGTCAAAAGGTCTTAGTGCTGACTGCAGCCTTTGCGTGTGTCTCTGTGGTGCTGGGAGCCAAGGGAGGAGGTCCTCCTCGGCTTTCAATGCCAGCAGCCTCTCTGGGGACTGAAGTATCTTGACAACACACTGACACTCACCACACCCAGCCAGTCTTCCACAGTTACCACCCTTTAATGTGCCAGCCCAGATAACTTGTAGTTACATAATGGAGAAATCAAACCTTCTGGAAAGGATGCAATGGCCATTAAAGTAAATACTGCATGAAGGTGCAGGTCATCCTGCTGCAGGTTAAAAAAAAAATCCTTTAAACAAAGCTAAAGAAGTGTGTGACAGGAATGAGGCCAGACTTGTGCATTCATTTTAAAGGGCATTTATCTAAACATTTTACTTTCATGTGAAAAACATTTGTTCTCTTACTACAGACCTGATGCATCATCTGAAGGCAGATGTAATTCAACTGTCACCAACAAGCTAAGGGCTTCAGTTTATATCAGCAAGGATCACATACCAAGTAGAGATCTTCTTAAAATAATAAAGTGCAGGATCCTAATTTCTGATTTGCAAAACTTGGAATCAAATCTGGATCCAAACTTTGTGACATCTGCCTGGCATCCACACAGCAAAGAGCTGCAACTGTTTTTCCAATGCAGAGGTATGGGCACAAGCTGCTGGGGTCTTTCAGAGGATAACTGCTCAGCCAGGGCTCCAGTTCCACTTATCTAGCATTTCTCCAATCCTCTGACTTCCAGCCTAGACTGAAAGTTGAAAATAACACCACTTTCCCCTGCTGTATCTCAACCTTCTACTTAGCTGAGAAAAAGTAGTAGAAATCTGACTTTTGAGAACTAGCTTTCATGTTGCTTTTAATACCTATGCAAACCACAGCAAAACAAAAATCTTGCCTGATTCGAGGCATTTACTGCATACTTTTCCCTTTCTTTGTCATGCTACAAAACCTGTAATCAAAATGTAGAACAATCATAGCTCAGGCATATTGCTTATTTACAGCTGTGACTATTCCAGATGAATCAAAATATAGCCACTGGTGGATTGATAGTGCTCTCGCTAAAAAGGACTATACCTAGTCTGGCAAAATTTAGGCAAAACCTACCCTTGATGTTTAATGAAGATTTTGAATATGTAAGGACCAAATAAAGACAACAAGATTTAGCTCTCTGAGATAAACACAAAAAATACTGACAGGAAACAGCTTATCTGTGTACCAGTGACAATCTGTGCTTTCTTGAAGAAGTCCTTTGGCTCCTATGTGGTCCTTGAAGAACTGACCTTATCAGGAAGGTAATTTGCTGTGTATGTAAATAGATTCTGAGAAGACGGGGCACTTGCAGAAGGATGATAAGATTCATTGCCTTGTGTTTATGATACAGGCTCATTCTGGTGCAGGGCTTTGTTGCAGCACTGAGAAAATGTCATCCTCTAAACCCACAGTTTTAAGTAATAGCACACCCATCCTAGCCCAGATGGCAAAATGAATGCAGGGAGACCTTTGCAGTTCTTCTTGGCCCAGTCTGAACTGCAGGACTATGCTGTCTCCCACTAGGTGATACTTGGCTGTCTTTCACAGCTTTTCTAGTACACGTTTGCCTGGGGAAATTGTGCAGACCAGACAATAAGGTGTATCACACTGTCCCTGCAGCCTCTGTGTGTTCTCATTCCCTACCACAATGTCATTCTTTCAGGCAGGGAGTCATCAGGGGTTTCGTGCACCAGCAAGATTCAGACAGAACCAGCTGGAAGAAACAGTTCTCAGAAATTCCCTGAAACACATCCCAGACACAGGCCTGCTCAAAGAGCAAGAAAGTCTCTGATAAGAGTTTAAAACCACTTCTCTAGATCCGAATTCATGCTAGACACTAGTTTGTAAATAAAACAATGTGACAATCTCGAGCTGAGTTACTTTAATAACATAGATGAGTACACACAACAGGTCTTACAAGAACAGAAAAGTGTTATGATTTGTCCTTTCACCTCAGAAAGTGCCTGCCCAAATAATTCCAGATTTATGCTGTCAGCCTGTGTCTGGTCCCCAAGAAAATAGAGGGATTCAAGATGATTTCTACCTAATGTAAGGCCTTTGCAAAGTTGCCTGTTAACTGGAAAAGTGTTCAGTGCTGTGGAGTGGTTATCACTCTTCTACCACGGCACACAGCCTGGGTGGTCAGCTTCAACAAGGACAAGGATAAGTGTGCCCCACTGCCCCCAGACACATATTTCATTACCAGTCCATAAGGTGTACCAGGAATGCAATGTTCCAACTACTGTTTTTAGCTGTTAATTAACACTGAGTAGTAGTGGAAGGAAATAAATATTTAAAAATTTACAAATCCAAATTACATTGACATTTTAAAAAAATTAACTAGTTAGCAAGCTTGAAAGATAATCAGGATGGAATTGATGCAAATAAAATATGAAGAAGTTAACAAAATACAAACACAATCCTCATGTCTTCTCTACCTTAAAAGAGAAGAAAAATAGTACTCCTTACTTAGTGATAGAATAAAGAGAGGGAATGTGAATGCACATTAGCATTAAAGCTAGTGAGGAACTAACCAAAACTATTAACTGTTTGGGGATTATTTTGTGTGGAGAGTGGAACAAATATTGTACCAGAATTAGGTGATCTTTATTTCCTTTTTCTCTGTGCACTCAACATTACTCTTAACAATCTTGAGGGTTTTTTGTTCATTCTGTAAAGAAGTAACTAATTGGAGGGGCCGAGGTGGGGTGGGGTGGGTGGGCCTTGAAAACACATATTCATTTTATGGGTTCAGTAGTTTCTTAATGTCCTGGAAAATTCACCTGGCATGCAAAGATAGCAGCAGCTCAGGTAGTATCTCCCAGTGAGTCAGGTTCTCCTCTGCCACTGACAGCTTTCTGCTCCACAGGAAAATGAAGTTGAAATTATTATTACCCAGACTGTTTTATGATCCTCTGCCAGTCAGCAGCAGCAGGAGGGGAGAAAAAAAATTAAGAGACAAAAATGCTGCTGGAAAACACCTCATAAATGAGCAAAAATTCAGGTTTTCCAGTAAAATCTTTCTTGTTGTCCATGGGAAGAATCTGACTGTTTATATCTTACCTGATGTTACTGGGCAGCTGTGGGACAGCTCACAGCTTCGGTACTAGGACTTCTTGCCCTTAGAAATAGGGCATTATTTGTGGAGGAAAGGTATTAAATTAGTGACTGATCATTTTGGTACCTAGCAGTAGTAGGAAGACCTGAGCAGAAGTGTGAATAATAAAAGAGTCTGGCAAAGCTACTAGGGCTGATGGCTTCTTATGGTCCTTTGGGTGCACCTGGACCAGTTGAAAAAAAATGCAGCTGGCTTCTTGTAAAACTTAGTATATTTTTTTCCTCTACATTTCAGTTGTTTCACAGCCTATCAAAACAATCATTTAGGATGAAAAAGCTAGAAAAGAAACACAAGTGCAGCTTGGTTTGGTGTTTCCCAGTGAGGATGCCTAAAAATGTACATATAAGTAACCATAATGCAGAAAGACAGTTTCTCATGGGTTTTCCTTAGGCCTGGTTGACCATAAACAGGTAAAGCAGAAAACAACATATCAGCAGAAATTGGTTGTTGAACAACCAGCTCCCAATGTGCAAGGTAACACTGAAAAAGGATGAGGAATGTAGGAAAGCTTACATAGGACAGACTTGCAGTTCAGCTACATCTGGTTGGATTTTCAGCCAGCCAAATATGGGAACTAACATACAGAAAGTACTTGGAAGAAAGAATAAATATGCCCATAACTAGGGTGGTCGTTGTAAGTTGCACTATGAAGTTACTGTGTCTACTGTATGTGTATACTGTATGTTGTTGGTGTGCACGTGAAAGCTGAATCATGCAAAAGAACATA